TGAGGTTTCTGGAGAAACGCAACTAATGTACGTACCATAGCCACATAGAAAAGACAGAAGAGTAGACTCGTATACTGTTATACCTGTCAGAACACGTCTTCGCGAGCATGAGAAGCAATTCGCTTTCAGGTGAAACTGTAGGATCAGTTATAAGGAGGTCATTATCAGTGTCACTTGGCTCTGTTGTCGTCGTTGTAGTTGGCGAACCTGCACCTGTTTTTGTACCGACCATAGACTTCTCCAAAGAGCTCGGGGTTGTTTCTGAAAAAAGTACTTCCAGTTAAACACTAACAAATCTTACATTACACTTATATGTCAATGATAATGATCAATGATATTATACAGTTAGCTAACCGGATTGCGGACAGTTGTATAACTTGTTGATTTTGTACAAATCCAACTCGCTAAAACCATGGCGTTGACCGATTTCGACTCCCTTCTTTCGTGGTTCTATGGTTGGCTTTCCATTCTAAGAACCTTCATTTACTGATTTACAACTTTACCTTGCTGGATAAGCTCACCTTACTGAATGCAGTAGGTGCATAGTGCATTACTGATCCATAGTCATAATCGGTATCAAGATGATTCACCATGTTCAAGGAGTATTTGTCAAATTGATCTGTATTAAAAACATTACAAGCAGGTTCGGTGAATTCTGAAATTCTTGCAAACCTTGAAGGCCTGATTCCACATTGTTCCAATTGATAATTACGTGGTCATCACGATCTGCACGACCTGAACTCAGTACGTTCAGAGGAACCACAAGAAGATATGTACCTTCTTACAAATCGCCATGGATACCGCAGGTTACCATCTAGTAGACTGGTCAAGACTACGGCGGCGGATGATCTCAATGGGGCGGACGAGAGTCAACATCGTCATGATCATGAAAGCCCCAGGAAATGGATAAATAACCAAAGATAAAGTCTTTAGCCATAGTAATCATTCCCTTTTTCGGGGTGAGTCCCTTCATTCGACTTCCATTCAGGATCCTAGTGGCGTTAAGAATACGATTGTTACGAATGTGGCCTATGCAATGACTTGAGATGAGCAGCCATTATGTAAAACAGCAACTTGGCCCTCACAGAAGAGTCACCAATCAAATGACCCAAAGCTATGGAGACTTAGTTCGCCAGGGCGAGCATCGATTCGATCCCCCGACTATGCAACTGCGATAGTGCGCTTTTCCCCACACCTCCGCCCTTTTTGATTGAAAAAACGAAGAGAAACTGTTTTTTTTTTTGAAAAAATACGGTAAGGACTCTTGAATCACAGCAGATCTCATTAAATTCTTATTCTATTCCTGACTTTGATCGAATTTTACTGCACAAAATGGGAAGAGCCTACTTTGTTCGTGAAAGAATCCAACAGCATGCATGAGCTCGTGAATGATGATTCCCTTCTGTATACAGCCATCACCGAGGCTGACTGGCTGCTTTCCTCCTGAACTTTCATAATTTCACTATGTATCTCACATAACATTGACATAGCGTGTTTCAGAGGACATTTTGCGGGGAAACCAGGCAAGATCTAGTTTTATGTGGCTTCGACCGGTAGCCATTTTCATTGGTATAATTGGTTCCCTCGAAGACCGAATAACAACAATCAATGTTGCAGAAACAGAAGGCGAATTCGATTGGTCTGTTCATTACAAGTTAACCTTACAAGTTAACTAAGTTGAACAGGAAACCCCTCAATGGCAGCTTTTATTAAGTCAAGAAGGGCAACTGACCTATTCTGCCGACAAGGGAATAGCATCCGTCATCCGGCACAATATGTATGTAGTCCTGGTCAGCGGCACTTTTCGGAGAAAAGTCAATACAAGTCTTCTTTCGATATTCCTCAATTGCTTCCGCTATCTTCGATCGGCTGAAAGTAAAAGCCTCTACTGGGCAGGAGGGCTTGCAGTGCATGTATATGTAGTGTATTGTACAGGACTACTTGTGATGTAACTCTTTCCATTCAAGACCATTTCCTTAGTAATAGTGAAGCCATCGTATAAAGAGCATTTTACCGCCTTGTACAGCAGGATCTCGGCCTTTTGGGGTGGATTTGGAACAACTTGTACATCCTTCCCAGATGTAGGCTCCGGAGAGCGACGGTGGCGAACTTTTTTTTTTTCGGAAACGATTATTTCTCAGAAATATGTATTGGTAAAGACAGTCTCAAAGATTACCAGTAATCACCCAGAAGGTTACTGTTAAAACAACTTCAAATCAACCATCCTCAATAACTAGAAAACTTCACGAGGAACATGCAGAAGAGCATTTCTGCTCACCAATATAAGTCTCATAATGGGAAGAAAAGGAGTAGCACAAAATGAGAACAGTCATAAGAGGGATCTTGTAGATTGGTTACTGTGAAATTCATTCGGAACCGAATATAAGTTTTGTATTGATAAAAAAAGGAGGGTATCCATTTCAGTGTCTTATCAAAGATCGTTGGCTTACTTATACGTTTGACTTTCCAACATGTCCATATGATCAGAGGAAAGGAAGGAAAATAATAGTAATCGCGTGAGTGTGACGCGCAACTTCAGAAATAATGGAACTAAAATGGTATAAAAAATGTAATAAGTGTTCTTGAAGTGCCTTGGCCAAGGTTCACCGACAAGGAATAAAAAGTGTTCCATGTAGGTGATCCAAAGGGCTTGTTCCTTCATTCGAATCCTACCATCTGACTCAATTTCATCAAATTCACATACAGCGTATTCCGATTTTAAAAAATACAAGGAGGTGTAAGTGATTTACAGGTCCAGAATACCAGCAAGCATCTACAAATTGTCAGTACTCGCAAGAAAAAGCATAGGGCACTTGTCATTTGGCCTTTTGCTCTAATGTCGAGTTACGAGTTGTAGAGTTTCAAAACTTGCATTTTAAATTTACGGGTTTATGGGAAGATCGAAGTAGTTAGTTGCAAGGAGCAAGAATTGACTTTAAAAACCACAGGTTCAGAAAGAAAAAGTTAGTTTTTTAGCGGAGCATTGGGTCAATTTGAGGTCGGTTGAATTTATTTTTAGAAAAAGAAAGTAGGATTAAAGGTTTTCTACACACTACACAATCCTTAGTCACGTGCCACTACTGAAGAGCCATTGCGCAAAGGAGATGAGGAGGTGCTAGGGAATAATCAGTGGGAGTTTCCGGTCTCTATCAGAACTAGAAAAAAAACTTCATGTTTCTTTTTAAGATTTTCTAAACATTCACACACCCTCTTTCTTTTCTTAAAATACTTCGTATAAAGTATAGTAATATACCTGTATGAAGAGTACTGAGAGCTAATCGTGTAAGGGATGCGACCGTCCGCCCATTTCAGGTAGGTTTGTCGCACGGCATTCCTTTGGATTCCACTGAAGGTTACCGAAAATGACTCGCCATATGGACTGCCTTTTCGAGTGTTGTGATGTTCATTAACTAAATTGTGAAATAAGCTAAATGAATAAGAAAAACGAAATAATCGACAGACTAATATCCCCTTCGAATCGGTTCCCATTGTACATAGCCGAGTCGTTGATAAGCCTGCCTTCCTGACTATTCAGTAATCGAGCTCTATACAGGTCGAGTGGGTTCAACCACGTCTCTTCATCTGGCACGGTTTTGTCGAAATACTGAAAAGTACGTCTTTAGAGCCCAGAAGCCTCCCGATTTGTGGATGATTTGGAGTGTCTATAGGACAAGCAGTAGCTCTACGATACCATATCTGAACTATCAAAGCGGCTGAACTTCATAAGAGGTTTTCGATGATAATCGAAAGTTCTCAAAATAACGCATTTGAGTAATCCGGATGTTAAGGACGGCTCAGGTGCACACCCAGTAAGTACTGCTGGGTATCATGGACTTCTTTGGTACTGACTGGGCGAAGCTGATGGTGAAGGAACACTTTTGTATAGGAGGGACTTTATTTCTTACAAAACTGGAGCCTGCAAACAATAGCCCCAGGGGTGAGAAATTAACTACCCCGCTTATTTGAAACTTGTAACTTAATTTGGAGGATATCAATACATAAACTGCTCTCTCGAGAGAGCAGTAGAATACGACTATACCCTGGCTGGGACTCTCACTATAGCACCCTCGGCCTTAATAGCTGATTCAAGTCAGCTTTCTGTCAGGGAACCTTCTTCCATCAACCACTTCAAGCTCTAGCAGAACCTTACACTAACTCGTTAATTCCATAGTACTCTACAGTAAGTAGCAAAAGGGCTTTATAATGCCGTTTATCGTTAATATCAAATGAATACCTATTATAAAAATTTCATATTTAAAAATGGATTTTTAAAATTGTTATTAAATTTCCAAACCCCAAAACTTTAATAGTGAAATGTATGACATGAAAATGAAGAAGAAGTGTCAAAACAAGGGAACGAACCAAATTTTGTGTTCTCACGATTGAGATCAGACAAAGCAAGACGAAAAGCATAGAGTGAAAGTGATTGGCCAAGTGGGCGGGATGAAACTCACACCATGCGAGTCGCAAACAAGAATAAAAGCTGAAGAAATGGGAGCTGCTGAAGAATAAATTAAACAAATATAAAAATATAGAACAATTTTTAGTTCATTGTTTTTTGATAGAATATACACAGAGTAACAAAAAGGGATGATGAGCGGTCTGTTGGGCAACATTTCAATCAGCTATCCTATACACCCGAAACCAGTTGGCGAAGCCTTTGTTGAAGTGACTGCCCTCGGAATGGAACGTTTTGGACCTCTGCTGATGTTATGTTGTTATGGGATGAAATCTGTGAGGAAAGCTACTGCGCTTTACTGGTACATGTTCTTTAGTTTAAAGTACATAATATGTGGTTACGTCCTGACTGTAAAAAGTGAGGTGTTTTAAAAATCCTTATGTTACCTCTGTCTTCCATGTATGTTCCTCATATACTGAACTCTTTTTGGGGTATTCAAGTAATGGTTCCACACTGTTAGATTCCTGGAAAGCAAAGTATCCGCTGATATCTTTTGTGAAGAACGGAATCCTCTCAGTTGATTCCTATCCAACAAATTCATGTAACCCAAACTTAAAGCAACAGTTGGTCCCAGAGGAACTGAAGCCCAAAACTTCATGCGACTTCACGTCTGATTTCTCCGTCTCTGTTATGACGCTTCTTCCATAAATTGAGTCGCCGGTTGATGTTTCTTGAAGATTTTTAGAATCACTTACAGAGAAACCCCTACTATTAAAAAGATTTTTCCGTTTTTGACAGCGGTGACTCCAGCTTTGTATCGACAATAGTTTCTCCTGGGTGGCCGCCAATGCGCCCTAACGTAACGCTACTTGATGAGAATGCTATTTACAGCAACAAAAGACAACGTTTAGGGCTATGACTTTTTCTGGAAAATGAACGAATTTTTTCATTTTTCTGGAAGAAAGTTTTCACATGTTGGTAACTTAAGCGCATTTTTGGCTAGCGTTTAGGTATCAGATACTAGCTCTTGAACAGTAATACATGAATGATTGGCGGACCGGTTTCACGGCAATTCCAGCCGATTGACCATCAAATAGGTGACACTCGGGCGTCCAGGCCATTGTCCTTATATTTGCTAAACGATTGAGGAGAAAGAAAAACGTTGACGAGTCGGGATCAACGCGGTTAATGCCTTAATGAGAATTTATAACAAATGCGGCTTTATCTCGCCTCTCAGAATATTACCATTTCCCGTTTTGACGATATTCTACAAAAAGCTAGTGCTCACTGCCTATTTGGAAGGTTGCAAAACGATGTGGTCAAACGATTACGATATCATGAAAGCTTCTTATATGGTATGCGCATGTAAATGAGTAGTAATTGTTTTGTAGTATTTCCACGGAAACTTCAAGGAAATCAGGAGAAAGGCCATTGTGAAATTTCCTGCAGTTACACATGGTCCGAGGTCGATACTCGCCCAGATCAATCAAGCCTTTATCCCTCCGATTGATTGGTGCCAGACTCTCTGGGTGGATCAGAGCACTGACTTGTACAACGGCTGGCCACTGCAAATCATTGTATAGGCCACATACGCGCATCCCTCAGACGGGGTTGGTTAACGCCTCAAGACTTTATCCTTCACTTTTACTTCACAGACAACCTTATGGATATTCAGTGCTCCTCAATTCCTCTGGTCTCACAGTGGACCCTTGAAAGTGAAGAAACAATTTGAACTTTCTGGTTCCCTGGTCCTATTTCTTGAAACTGCCACTCCTGTCCTAGGCCAAGGAAAAAGAGCAGTTTCGGTGGCGAAAATTCGCTTGTATAGTTTTATGCACATCTAGCACACTCATAAAATTCTGAAACATTTTCATTATTTTTTTGCTGCGGCATTTGCGTCATCCTCCGAGAAACCATATCTTTTTCAAACACTAGAGTAATGAGATACCGCCAAAAAACAGTTTGAATAATTTAATTCAATGCAGATTTCATATAAGACCATTAAAATTTAAACGAATTTCGACGAATAATCACGATATAACAAGCATCATTATGGATTTATTTAACACCACCACAGAAACGGAGCAAGAGATTTAACTGTGCAGACAGCGAGCTCGGGCTGAAGCCTATGACATCGCATACAATATTCGGAGAAAGGAAAGAATTTTTGATAGTACAAAAATCGCTCAATTAGAGTACGACTAAACCGACCTTCTTGAGAGTAAGTGTTGCTACTTCACAAAAATACTAAAGCTTATGAAACGTGAGTGTATGTAGTACAAAATGCTACACTCGGCTAAGGGCTTTTGCTTCAGGACGCACTAAATGCATGTGGGTTGCGCAACGAAAACAAAGGTGGGGTCATTGAACTGAAACCACAAGGCTTGCTTGACTGTAGAAAATACTGGTGAACACAATGACACGATGCTCGGTTCTCAGAATTGTCCCAACAACAGCACACTAGAAAAATTTCCTTATCTGAAATTGAAAAGACTCTACAGGCAGCAGAACCATCCATCATATTGGTTGCATTGCTACACCTTATTACTTCTTCTGAAGCCGACTGGGAGGCTTCTTCGTCGGAGTGGACGCACCGTTAGCCTTTTTAAGGGCTTGTTTATCGGATTTCTCCGGTGTTTTTCCTGATTTACCGTCTTTCGCAATAACGTCCTGAACGTTGGTCATATAGTAAACATACGCAACGAACAGAAATACTTCTCAAAAAAGGATGCACAAAAAGGGCCATGCCGTTAGTGGTAGTCTCTGTAGCGATTTTTAAATTGAGACTTTTGCAGCACTCTTCAGCAGGAGATATTTGAAAGCTGCACACGGGCATTTGTTTATGTACTACACACCCGCGCATTTGCTCACGTACTATATGGTCGCGATAAAGTCTCAACTAAACAACTGTGAGTCTACAACTTGATAAATGTCTGTATCTATTGGGTGTGGTAACTTCCTCGAAAATCGCGTCGCGCTTGCCGCCCAAGTTCGCGCGCTGTGAAGAGAAAGTTTTGGCCTTCGAGAGGAAGGATACGGTAGGATACGGTACCTGCTTCTGCCTAGATAGTGCTGCATACGGTTCCAGTAGTCTTCCTAGGGTCGCGAGCCAAAAGAGGGTCACCGCGCGCGGCTACGCAATGGAACTTTTGCAAATTCTCCATATTCCCGCCCCTTTGACCCAGCTTTCTTGCAGCGACCTAAAGTGGAATTCCTCATATACACATTCCTGGTCTTCATTTCCAACTCCTTTAGTGATGTTATCGTCCGCTCCCGTCTCTTTCGCTCACAGAACGCTGTCGATAGACCTTAGTTCCCTAAAGCCGCAGCGCACTGAAGCGGTAGGTTTTCTCGCGCTGAGCTCACTGACAGAAAACGAAAACCTGACGCCGGGACTTTAGCACTTCGTTTGATTTTTGCGGGAATTCTAGCGGACCCCCATTTCCATCTTTCAGATGCGCATGATCATCGTGCTCAATGACTTTGCAGAATCAAACCTTTGAGTTAGTCCTTTCTCTGTCCCAGAACTGTCTCAGCTGCCTGCGAAGTACCTTTCCACATATACTTCGTGGGATTTCAGGAACAAAGAACACTCCACCGCGAAGTTCTTTGAACGTCGGTATTTTTCCTAGAAATATTTAGGTACTTTAGTCAATAAACGATCATTGCTTTCGAATTTACATTTCCGTCAAATACTTATATTACCTGAGACATACTGCCTAACTTCAGCTGATGACAATAGAGGAAATGCTGGATTTTTCACAACAAAAGCTGCCGGCACCTGCTGGTAAAATAAGAATAGTCAAGGAAGTGACTGCGAAATGCTGTAAACCCTACTAGGTGGCTTAAATACGAAACTGTTCCTTCACATACCTCACCAGAGACATGGTCTTGCCTCCCTACAACAGCACAGTCATCAATCCCTGGATGACCTCTTAGGGTTAACTCAACCTCTGACGGGCAAACCTAAAGCGGAATTCGCATATAAATATACCTGAAATTCCTTTACTTCTCGAATTTCAAAGCTTCTCGCACTTTTAGTTCGGTCAGCTTTACCAGTTGGATCACTTACTAGCGTTCCCTTGTACTTGATTATGTCCTTCATACGGTCCAACACGTAAATGTTACCAGTTTCATCATAAAACGCAGCGTCACCTACAACTTCTTGGCTACGTCCGAAGGAAAAGTTGGTGGAAAAATATCTATACCTGTTTTCACATATCCGTTTGTGTCAATTATTTCAGCTGTCGCTTTAGCATTTTTATAGTAGCATGGAGCTACTTGTGGTCCGTTTACCAGTAAGTGGCCTGGCGTCCTTGGTGGACAGAGCTGTTTGGTTTCATAATTGACTATCTAAAGAGAGGCAGCACGATAAGTAGAAGTGAGGAAAACAAAATGAAAATAGAGAATGTTCCGCTTTGTACCGAAGTTTTCGAGCCACCAGAGGGTACCGGGAATTCAATCATGTGTGCCCTAATTTTACAATACTTTCCACGAAAAGGTAGAGTTCTGGGAATTGAGCAATTCAACGAGGTTCGTACAATACAATTCGATTAGAGTATTTGAATTATGGCTAAATTATTGGATAATTGATGTGATGCTCAGTTTTGAAATGTTTCAAATTGTAAAGTAGCTAGCTCACGTATGCTAATTTCTGACGGATAACAAGCATCAACAACGCAGGAACCAAGTGAGACCACCATTTTATGTATCAAAGTCAACGCTATTGTACAATTACTTTTTCATCGTCTCAAGGACACAAGCTTGAACAGCGCAAAGCACGTGAAATCTGAATGAGTAGTCGTTTTCCGCGAGAACGTGGATTTCCGCGTGTTGTAAGGGAAAGTTTCCGGAAAAGGTAACATTTTCGGAAGGTGCAGGTAGTTGCTGCCATCATGATTAAGTACGTCACCCTTGTGAGACAAATCTTGAAAGCTTAGTAGGTTACATAAATCATAATGAAATAGCTTTAGAAATCGGGAATGGTTGCCCCAAATTACTCCTTGGAACAGCCGGATCCTGCTACATTTATTGTTAAGCACTATTCAGCCTCAGGATAACAGCATCGACAATTTGAAGTGTAATATTTTGACTTTAAAAAACCAATGTAGTCCCTCTGTCCTAAACTGTTCTCGAGGGCTGTGACTACTCAAAAGTAAGAATTTTCAAAATCTTGCAATCTTTGAAGTTTCCTGTTCTTCAAAGTCTTGACGTTCACTGAACGAATGATTTTTGATCTCATATCATGTAGAACTTCCCTTGAAAAGCATTCCTGGGAGCGGCGCCCCAACACTTTCGATCTTGTCTGATTCATAAGGAGACAACGTACATAAGCCACCGAGCTCCGTCATTCCATAAGCTGAAAGATAGGCTCAGAAACTTTCTAATCAACATTTAACAATCATCACCACCGATCGTAACTATTACTTAAAGGCAATGTTCACGAAAAAATGGTTTCGGAGATCTGCACATGGTTTGAATTCGACGCCCCCTCTGATACCATTTGTGCAGGAATGAGGTCGGAAAACGGTCTGGATAGGGCACAATAAGGGCAGGAACAGTGGGGGATGGGAGGCCTCCGCCCCTCTCTAGGCTGACTACGAGCTCTAATTGCCCTTCACCACATTCGCATTGGAGCGAAGTTGGTGAAAAATCGATACGCTGATTGGCAAATTGCCAGAGTCTGCCAGTGAGATTGTCAGGCGAATTGGGTGTGTTGTCTGTATTGCAGACATTGCGTCGCCTTCGTGCATTCTCGCCCGAACACTCCCTAACCGCCGTTATTTCAATGTGAAACTCGTCCAACCCCCCTTTCCAGCTCTTTTTTGACCCTTTCTATTTCTTTTTGTTCATCGTTTTTTGCGCTTTTTTCGTTATTATCACTTTATTCTAGAGTAGTTCTATGAATTCCCGTCAAAAAAATGGTAACCTAAATTTATCGTAAACGGTGCCTTTAAGGGCACAAATCACGATAAAAATGGTTAGTGAAATCTTTCCTCAGGAATACCCATTGGCCCCCAAGGATAATAAGAAGGACCTAGAAACTCGACAGTTCAGGCATAGTGGAAGTTCCGTTCCCGGCTCGCGCGGACTTCCCGCCCCACGACCGATGTCACGTGAGACGAGTGTCCAGGCGATACAGATCGCAAGTATTCGCGTCAGGACCCACACACCATCAGCTGATAGCCGAGTGATGAGGCAACGTTCTTCTCCCATCCCTTTTCTGTGTTATTCTTTTTGCTGCTGCGATCCTCATTCTAATTCTCTACCTCAAGACGCTGAAAAAGGTTGGCTATTTTTGTTGTTACTAGGGTTTTTTTGTTGACTTATGCCTATGGATGGATGAATTTTTGCTTACCGTAGTCAGAACTTCGCACTAGGACCCACACGTACGCAATGACGTACAGTGTGCAGCTCATCCAAACGCCCCGTTCTTCTTCATTTTTCTGAACTCATTCTTGTGCAGCCCCCTTTCGAACTACTTTTCGAAGCCTTTTTTCACTTTGGAAACATCGATCCACGCAGTTCCTTCGCCTCTATCGCACTATTTTCCATCTTATCTTCCAGTTTTCGTCATAATCTGGGTTACCCAAAATTATCGTGAACTGTGCCTTTGGAGATTTGAGGAATCAGGGAACTTACACTGTCTCAAGTCTTTCAAATGCATTTTCCGTTTGGCATGATTGGCCAGATTTGCATCGATTGGGGCACCAGCCACTAATATCGAACGAAGGCTGTTTATTTGTTGTGTTTCTAAGGTTATATCCATAGCTAGCCACATGACCATTGCTGGCGTGATGTGTGAGACATTGATCTTAAATCAAAATGAAAACTGGAGGCAGCTGATTTTAGGAATGAACTTACGTTCAGATTTAATAGATTGTCCACGAGAGCTTTTGGCGTCGCTTTTGCCATCATGTAAACAGTGGCACCATTGACCAAAGCATAGTAAGCTGATATAGCTCCAAATACGTGAGAAAGCGCAAGTGGTAGAAGAAAACGTTCCCGCGGTTGAACGGGGCCATAGAGCGGTAGGCCGATTTGTTGAAGGTTGATGATCAGTGATCGATGACTGAATTCAGCTGCCTGGAACGTTAGTAAAATAAATTGTAGGCAAATTGCCTTATGATTTCTACTTACTACAATTGAGGTTGATTTCTGCTTTGGAAAGTTCATATTTAACCATTCTTGATACATGATCTGGTGAAGATGTAGCCTAAGGGGTAGCGGAAGTTCTCCCCGAATTCCCACGGCCAGCAGCAGCGGTTCCGCGGTGTATGCCGTATCCAGTGGAGAATTCATATCTTTCCCTTCATAGCGCCCAATCGATTGCGGTAACTGCGACACACCGTTCAGGGAGAAAATACCAGACCAGTAGCTAGGGTATGGGCAGGGGCACCCCTTCTCTCTAACCTTGATCGCTAGAGCGCAGAGAATGAGGGGAAGCTGACTTACCTTATGCTCAGAGGCGGTTCTCAGTCGAAGCAGCATACTTTTTATCTCACAAGGAAAGGATACTTGGTCGCATGGCCATTCAAAATGAGATGTATACCCCCATAGGGTTTCGAACGCTGTTCTCAAATCTGTGTTCCAAATCTGCGAAGCAATTGTGGGAACAAAATTACGGGACCGATGCCTTCCTGTGTTATACCACAGAAACGAACGGATCACAGAGCCGAGAAAAGTATCTTTGCTCGAAACACCATCTTGACTGTTGGGGGTAAAGATGCGCATATATTCGGTCAGCAGTGGTGAAAAAATTTTCTATTGGATCACAATTCCCCGAAGTCCTAAACTGTGAGGGACCCTGTAGATCCCAACATTGAGCCCAAAATGTTCTGCAAGCGTTTAGGGCGCATTTTATGGAAAAGCAAAACCAGCGCATTCATCAAGAAATCGAACATCGATTTCATACACACCAGTCCTCAACACTATCCGCTAGGCCATCGTTGCACAGGTATAGCTTTGCTCGGCTCGATGATCCGTTCGTTACTGCGGTATAACACAGGAAGGCATCGGTCCCACAATCGTTCCGGAGATTTGAAACACAGATTTGAGATCCGAAACCACCTACGGGGGTCTACATCTCATCTTGAATGGCCACTGCGACCAAGTATCCTTCCCTTGTCAGCCTCAGGAGGTGGGAGCACTGACTGGGTGATATGATAACCTCGTGCAAAAAGCTGGCATGGGTAGGACTTGAGCATTCAATTTACTTACCATCCCTTTGCTCTTTCTCTCATAATGCTAAGGTAAAAGAAGCTATAGCCTCTCGGTTAGAAACCGTTCCTAGCCTCCGTGTGGGTCCTAGCGTTCAATTCTGGTGAAGAGCTGCCTCCTCCCCCAACGGCATTTTCACCCATGATCCACCAGTTTCTATGAGCGATTAGAGCTATATCAACTAGTTGTGATATTACCATAGGCTCGAGTACGAGTTCGGGGCGAAACATTCGAATTTATTAAGCCTGAATGTTCTAATCACTGCTTTTGTTCAGAGCTCTTAAAATACTGAATTATCTGCTTCATTGTGTTCTTTGTACTCACCTGAATAACTCTTTTCACCTCGAAACCCAAGTAGCCGCCTAAAAGAAAGGCGAACCACCGAAAAGGGTAAGGACAATCAACCAAACATCGCATCTGTTGCATCGCATCTGTTGTTGCAACATCGCAATCAGAACCCCTTAAAGCTCCCTATTCCGATATTTAACATCACAGCATCTACTATTATCAAGTACTACTGGCCAGTCCTCAAGGCTTTCAATCATGTTAGCCTCCATCGACCTCTCAGGCACAAAACCATGTTGGACCCGTGGTATTATTCTGTTAGCTACAGCATACTCAAGAATATGTTCCTTGATCGTTTTCTCAAAAAGTCGACAAAACAAAGAAGTTTTGCTGACAGGACGATAATTCGCAGGGTCACAGGAAGGTTCCTTCTTAAGTACCGGGGTGACGAAAGAGTGTTCCCATCGTGCAGGAACTTCCCCCTTCATGAGTGATTGGTTGAACATGTACGAGAGCGGCTCCCAAATAACACCGGCAACTTTTTGAATGAAAAGCAACGGAATGAAGCCCGAAGTGAGTGAAGAAGATTTGGGCCAGCTCATAATCCTTTCGTATAACTGATCTGCGTAAAACCATGGTAGCTGATTCATAGTTGAGGCGGAGGTCGGTGAAAAGTGAGGAGCACTAACATCTCATTCGAGAATGACTTTGAGAACTGATCAGCAATCATGTTAGCTTTGTCATCTCATGCCTTAACGTCTCCACATTTCAGAGGCCCTGTGCACCCTTTGTCATGCAATTTTCTATTAAAATACCTGTAAAAGCTGGTAAAAGCTCGAACTCCCACACTCAACAATTTTCTTCTCGATGTTATTCAAGTACTCAGGCGTGTAAGGAAAATTTCTGTAAATTCATTATACCTAGACCAGCTTCCAGTTCGCCTTGCTTCTTGGAAGAGGCAGTCCCTATGCTCACTCATGTTCCTCAAATAACGTGGTAAAGGAGTAGACTTGAACGAAGTCACCCTTTCCCAAGGAATATAGTTATCAATGGCAGTATGCAGTACTGTTAATAGTAACTCATTAACTTTGGCCACATTTGTTCTTTTACACCTTAACACCTTTTTGCCGCATCCCAGAACGTTTCTGAGTAGAGTTATAATTTTTGTCCAAGCCCGGCACACTTTAGCGCCAACCTCACACACTTCTGGGATTTGACCACATTTGTTCGTTTACACCTTAACACCTTTTTGCCGTAACCCGGAACGTTTCTGAATAGAGTTATAAATTTTTGTCTAAGCCCCGCCCACTTCAGCGCCAACCCCGTCCACTTCGAGGATTTGTTCCATTACCTCTACCACTTTTTTCCCGCATTCTAGAACGTTTCCAAGCAAAGTTGCATTCATTTTTGAAAAGTGGCTTCTGACACAACGCACACCCCGCCCATCGTGGGCGGGGCTTCGTTAAGCTTACGCATGCCCAGAACGCATAAGGCCCTGTCCACTTTTTTCCTGACCTCTGCGCCCTAACTGAATCAAATTATGAATACATCTGAAAAGTACCGCCCATTTTGAGAAACCTCCGCCCACAGCATGTGGGTCTTCTCTGTCTGGTTTGTTGACCCAATGCTCACCTTTGTTCATTTTTTCCCGGTGTCTGGACCTTCTTAAGGCCAAAATAAGGTGTTTAGCTTTTGGCATCGCCCATTCCGGCACTTGCCCCACCCCTTCGTGGGCGGAGCTCCGCAGATCTCGTATGTGCTCTGTTAGTCCTGTCCCAGGCTCCACCCATCCCAAACTTGTCCCGACTTGTAAAGGTGTTTCTGTGGTAAAACCGGACTACGTGATACACATACATACATACATACATACATACATACATACATACATACATACATACATACATTCATTCATTCATTCATTCATTCATTCATACAGACGCACCAAACTTGTGGATTATATATAGTAAGGATGGATTATATGTAGTAAGGATAATATAAAATTTATAACCCAATTCAATTTAGTCTTTGCATTATGGGACTTCATATGCATGTTTTGCTTGACTCTTTTTCTTATTACAACAAACCTTCGGAATTCCTGTTGTGCCACTGGTGAAGAAGATCAACAGCGGATTTTGGCCAGCGAAAGGATTCGTTACAGCATGAGTCTCCGTCTGATTCTCACTGTTCTCTTCTGCACCACTTCCCTTGAAGCTCAAATTCGAAGGAAATTCCACAGAGTCTAGAAATGAAGGCACTTACCGTAATGGCTACACTAGCATCCGAAATCGGTGATAGAAGATCTTCAGAAGGAGTTGTTCTATAAGATTCAATTACTTATTCGATAACGTACCAATGTCAATCTCAATGGTGAGTGAATTTTGAATTTGTGATATCAATGGTAATAATGGAAGTTTCCGGCACAATTTATTGCATTGAGACTCTGAGCAACGGTTTCAACGAGCTCACCACATGATAAAAGGCTCACTGTAAAAAGAAGTATTCACTAGTCAAGCAGTTCCCCTGGCCCCGCAACGTTGTCCGAGCAGCTTTCCTCTTACTTTGGTGTCACCATAGAAAATTAAAGGGTCACAATCACACATAGAGAATAAGGATCATTATTACACTATCATTTTTTCACTACCTAGGCAGAATACGTTACCGGTGAAAGCTCAAGCAAATCAGTGATCGAGGGGCGATAGGCAGTACATTGAGCTCAAATGGTGTGAATTTGACGGCCGGTGCCCGTTAGTTTTCCGTTGTTGTAAGGCGAGAAAAAGGTGAGTGGTAGCAGGTGTGCTATGTAAATTTTCAACAGTGTTACTTAGCTCCCAGCTGCAAGACTGGGATGCGGGTCTTTATGCCTAAACCGAGTGGGTTATACCACGTTGAGGCAACCACCTAGGGTGACCAACTAATTGTAGGTTATGGAGTATGACGAGATATCTGGCTAGGATTTGACGCTTACTATAATCGGACCATCTGGTTTTTCGAATAACACTGCACATCCCCTGAAGCTATCATTGGCATATTCCCAATGACAATGTCTGGAAATCGGTAGTAGATAAAAGGGGTGCTGCATTGACGAATTTGGTTGACTAGAGGCAAGGCTGGCAGGATATCACTGTGACCAACTTACAAGGTCTTTAATAAATATTAATCACGTGAACGATAAAGGAGGCTACACTTCATTAGCTCCTATAGTACAGCTCTAGTAACGAGAACTCACACAAATTTCGCCACAGATAGTTCCTTAGTGAGCGGGTTCCTGAAATTCTATGAGTGCAAGGCGACAAATTATTATCAAGTTGGTAATTCTTCGGAGGGAATATGCTGGCTGCACATATGACTGACACCGAAACTAAAAAACCTTTTATTGTTTTCGCTGTTGATGGAATCTGTAGTTAGAACGTCGTCTATCGGACGAACGTGCTTGATACGTCCACCACCACGCATCGCCGCTTTGCGCCGAACATCATCAGCCTACGCAGTTCAGTCTCTATCACTAGTTAATTACTAGCAAAAATAAAAACTGGTAGACTCACTTTTTGCATGAATTGCGGCTCCACAATCAAGTGTGTCGATTCGCTTAAGTCTACAATTTGCCAAATTTCATCTGAAACAGCAGAAGGTGACATGTCTTGCTGGTCCATGCCGGAACCCACGGGAAAATATCGCAAATTTCTACCAGAAGAAAGACGGTGTAGTTCCCAGTGAAGCACTATGACAAGCACGGTGCTGAGATCAAAGTTCGGATCGATACTTGCCTAAGCTAAGCGAGCCTTCCATCTCTCTGGGGTCGGCTGTTTGATACCAGACTCATCCGGCAGGATGAAATACAAATGGAAAATAGATGTGAGACCTGGTAGCTTTAAAGGCACAGTTCAGGACAATTTTGGGGGTATCCGGTATTTTAGAGATAGTGGTAGGTAAGGCCTACACTAGGACAATGGTAAAGCATAAAAGGCTAAAAACAGTGAAAAAAAGGAAAACAAACGGCCGAAAAAAAAGAGGAAAAAGTGGTTGGACGAGATTCATAATGGGAAAACGGTGGTTAAGTGAATTTTCGCGGAAGTACATGAATGCGACGCCATGTGTGCAATGGCACACAAAACACCCAAACAGCTGATTTAGACTAGATTCTTGAAACTATTTATTCCCCAACTGATATTTCGCTGAACTTTTATGTTTATTCAGTTGTTCTGCACAGAAAGGTGAGTAAATTCCCTTATATTTATAATTTTACGATTAAATGTACCTAAGTTTCCATATAGTACGTTGTTTTATAAAATGCATGCTAGGATTTCAATTTTTTTATTTGCAACGCATTTTCTTCATTTGGGGTCATTTATGTGTTCTTGTACAATGTCAAGAACACTCTTTGACTTTCATTTGAAGATTTATGCTCAGTTGAAGCCAATCAGTTGAAATGCAGCCGAATATTAGTACCAGAAGGAGGCGGTCGACCAGCTGACCATTCCTGGCAATTTGCCAATCAGCGTATCGATTTTCCACCAACTTCGCTCCAATGCGAAAGTGGTGAAGAAAAATTCGAACGCGTAGTCAGCCTAGCGAGGGGCGGAGCCCTGACGTCCCCCAATGTTCCTGCCCTAATTGTGCCCTATTCTAACGATTTTCGACTTCATTCCTGCACAAATGGTATCAGAGGGGGCTTCGAATTCAAACTATATGCAAATCTCCGGAACCACCTTTTCCTGACCTGTGCCTTTAAACCATTGACGACCATGCGTCCACATGTGGACTGCAGATGTATTTTTTGTTTTATTCATCTAAATTTCCACTTTCTTTCATTTCTTCTTCTCAAAACATTACATAAGGTCTAAATGAAACCACATACAGTGTGGTCCTAAAAAATCTTCTAATTTTGCAATTGTAAAGGTTTTTTTTCGAAGGAAAACATTACCTTGATGAATTTTTCATTCGTTGAACAACTTTAAAAAAAAAGAGATATTTTGAAAAGACGGTCGTCAATAGCATTTCCAAATGCAGAGCTCGTAAAAATTCCTCGAAACGATTTCTGGTAATGAATAAACCATTTTCGATCGCGCCTTTTACATTGTCCTTACAACAACTTTTAATTTCTCTTATAACTGTAGTTGGAAGTGAATGATTCCTGGACCACGATGCCTCAAGATTCTCTAGAAGGTTGTGAGCTCAGCTGATACATGAAAACATGAAAAATTAAAAGAACACTTGATAGATAATATAAATACTACAGCAGCACGATATGGTTTGGCCCGCCGGCAGACCGCGCAGTCGTCAATGGGTTAAAGAATACAAACTGTACCAGTTAGTATTATGACTTTGATCATACTGTAACAAGATTTAAGGAAAATGATTTACCCTTCGATTAATGTTTTCTGAGTGGAAAATGTACTTTCATCCAAGTCTGCAAACAGCAGTGCCTTTCTTTGTTGAGGATCAAATAATTTTCACCAGTGATAAAAGCAGCGGGTGTGTAAGCTTAGTAACAGAAGGAGCATTACACATTCATGCGAAACACAACATTAGAAGAGCCCTAAAACAACCTCACCATCCTCACGCTACTGGATCACCGATATACTGTGGGGAGGCTTCTCAGTACTTCATATAGGGAATAATACTGTTAGAGGACAAAAAGTGCAACGAACGTTAGAGAACAGGGAATTTCTTGTGGTTATGCTCCATCTTCGATATATCCGCCTAAGCCAACCAGGCCCTCCATCTGTCTCGAGTCGATCAATTGGTACCAGGCTCGTCTAGTAGGATAAAAGCGCTGCTTGTAAATATTATACATCGGCTGGTCACCGCAAGTCATTGTATGAGCCACACACGCATTCAATACGCCACTACGATCCTGAACGGAGGTGGAATGTGTAAACTTTTCAACACTCCTGAGTTCCATTAGACAGCAGGCAAGAATTGAAAACTGATTTGATTTGGTAGATTGAAATTTGGAATTGATAATCGATAGCCTGAGATGTGATGAATAGAGTATCTCAACAACTGACACTCGCGACACGTCTTCGTGGGTGCTAAAAGATATCCCAATTTGGTCGTTATTTCGCATTGAAGAACAAGGCAGGGCACACACTGGATTTGAAGGGCATATTGGCAATTATTTTCAACTTATTTGTCTCTTATGTATTGATTTATTTGCAGCAATGAGCTTTGAAATACTGTGATGTTGGATCTTGACATGTGCCACCCCCACGCCCCCCCCCATCCCTTATTATGCATTCTAACAAATTGAGAACTTAGTAGTCATAAAACGCACCCACTGAGCTATATCCATTCACTGCTACAGCAGAACACCCAATTATTCCACATGCGAGATGAACGAAAATAGCCTGGCCTAAATAGTTGTGATTACTCGATTAAACCTCTTCTGCAACATGCTCACCAGTGACGCTTGTGATTACTGCTACTCGGCTGTTGGTACCGACCTAAAATTAACATTAACTGTTAGAATGGGTTTTAAGTACCATAGCCGAATCGGCACTTTCCTGAAGTTCTTTCAGTCGCCCACTGCACATATCACACCATCCGCGCAGCTCAGAGTATCGCCACTGTTTCCCGGTTTCAATGTCGATCTGAACCAAACTAGTGAAATTCCTGGTACAACCTATCAAAAACGGGCCCATATAGGCCTAGAAGGCACGCACAATGGCCGGATTACTGCCATGTGCGGAGATCTTTGCAAAAAAGTACTCGGTGAATGACTGGTACGGTGTTCTGTCCCATTGGATTTGAAACGCATTCTGGATCTCCATGAGAACGTGCAACGGTCACCGTGGGGTGATAGTAGCAGCGGCGAAGTTAGCCGGATTCGAGACGTCGAGGTAGTCGTCGTGGGTGGAATGGTGTTGTGTCGAGGGAGTCAGACGTCGATGGCAGTCGAATAAGGCGTCTGATGGTGTTCACATCTGAAATGCATACCACGATCGTCTCCACGCCTCTCTTTTCACATTCACTCTCTGAGGTTGACATGTAATACGAGAAACGACACAGTCCAACAATTGAAGCCGTGCAGTAAGCACCGTGCCGTAGCCTTAATTTGGATACTCATCTCTTCGTTCATCATTCACTCATTCGAATTCCCTCACATCCAGCAACTCCTACAATTAGAACAGAACTATTTTGTGTATTGACCGAGACATCAACTAGTACTTCTTAACTGTATCACGTAGGTTACCGTGATATGCACAGTAATTGTTTGAATTGGGAAACTGGGACAGCCCTTACCTTCATTGCTCCTACTCAATTGAACATAGGTTTGAAATTTGAAATGTTTGTCATTTGAGCTTGAGATTTCTTTGCGTTAGATACCAGCTGCATATGTGCAACCCCAGAAGTCCTTCATAGAGCCGGAAGTTCCACCAGTGCTCAAAAAAGTATAAGCAAGTTGCTGTACTTTCAACGTTTCTTTGTTTGTTGTTTAACTTCATCTACATGAAGAATTGGCGACTCATCATCTTAGGTGTCCCAAAGGTATTTAGAATGTTGTACAGTATCCTTTTTGGGTCTTGGCTGGAAATGGATTGCGGTGAGGGCAGTTGCGTAACTTATGATGGGGTGATAAAATATCATCGAGGCAACTCACCCGTTAACCATAAGACCCAAAGAAAATGGCGGGGAACTACTTTCGAAAATTCCATCAACTTCTGACACATTTGTAGAGACATAGCAAGGAAAGTCAAGGGAACATAAGCTGTTTGCTTAGTCAGCCCGTTTGGGATGAGTCATGAGCTGGACTTCCTGTTAGCATCATACGTCTCAATTTAGTTATTGTTGGTAGGTCCATTTGGTTGTCCAATGTCTGATCTGCTCTCAATTCTCCCGCTACAGATTGAGTGGTGTTTTGGTTTCTTTACTTGAATCCTAGGTGTATTGCATAAGGGGCGATTGAGCCCTTTGACCTCTGCACTATATCTACTCACGGGCTAATATGAGCGTTGTCAATTTAATTTCAATATCGAAATCATTTGAACAATTTATCTTTCAGATGTGCAATGTCCAATGCCCTCGAAATCCTTACTCGGCTCGCCGACTTATGGGTTGTTGGCAAGTGTAAATGCTTCATGCAACGGTCCAAGTCAACCTCGCATATTGACTGTTTCCAACTGGAGCCATGGGTTGTGGAAGAGCTTAATGTCTGTGCAGCACTGGGCAGGTGAAAACTCGGTATTACGAAGTTTTGAATGATTGTCTAGTGAATTCGAGGTTTCAGCACAAAGTCTTTCCTAGCAACACAGTCCCAAGCAGAGGCAGCTCTGTACACGGAAAGTCTCGACAGTTTGCAAATGGATGGACTGAGTAATACAAGATGGAGTGCTACGTTATGAGGAATCCTTTGTTGTGATATTTTTTGTCGTTAGTTTTTCTCTCGATTCTATTAATTATCACGAAAGTGCGATAGAGAATCGAAATGAGTTGCCGCGCGAAACTAGGTCACCGCGCGCGCGGCAGTTTTCGGGGGCACTACTGTCCCACAACCCGATCAATATTCATTTTTTTTCGACTCCATTTCCCTTGTCCAATAATGTGCAGGCGGTCGCACTAGGATGTGACCATCAGTTGAATGATTTTTTTATCTTTCAAACAGGTTTTAAGAACCAATTTGACTTTCATATGTGCTGAATTTGTTATATTGAATTGTGTTGTGTTGCACCTCCATCATCTTCCAGCCACTCTTGGAAATCAAACGTTTCAGCAATAAATGTGCTATTTCCTGGAGGTTCATCCAAGTACGGCTGCAACATTTCTTTCTTTTCAGTGTTGCCAAAAAGATGTAGTAATAAAATCTTTATACAATTCAATAATTAATTTAGATGTCTGTTTCTTTATAAATAAGGCACGGCACAACAAGTGATGGCCCGTCTTTTCTCGGTACCATGATTCTGTGAATAATATTGCCACTGACACGAACATAGCCTTTCTTGGCCAGAGCCGGCTTGTCATAGCTCTTGTTCTGTACTATGTATCCGTCCTTCTCAGTTATGTCGTCCGGTAATATCTAAAAATAATTGGTCAAATCGAACTATTTATAGTAATGTTCAATGCAAAATGTGTTCAGGCGTTCTTCTTACGAAGTAGGTGAGTAGAGTAATAATAGGTTGTAAATATTTGCCGAAAATTCCGCAATAAACAATATTCTTCTGTAGTGTCCGGGAGATTTCATAACGTTGGTGTACCAGGTCACTCCACATTTAAATGCACGTGATATATCCGGCTTTCTTACATGTTGAACACAATAATTGCCAAGTGTGGTATCTTTTCCCCGAAAATCGCATCACGCTCGCCGCACCCAGCCGCGGGCTGTGAAACGAAAGGCCTGAATTTCTAGTGGAACGATACGGTAGGAAGGGAGCTCCAGCATTGCTCGATATGATAAACCTTCAAGAGAAATAGTACCGATAGAGAGTGTGTATGAGTACGAAATACCATGTTTATCACCTATGTATTTGTTTACATTCAAGTATTTTCTACCATAAACCAGAGTGAGCATTAGCAGCCATATTTATATTCTCATGAGCCTATGCGGTTATTTGAAGGCAGACTAAGAGCCCATAGCAGATCACCTCTCTTCCGCAGTTCACCTTCACGGAAACCTGGCATACAAATCGTAGGAACCTTCTTGGTCTTTCAAGATGAGTAGTGTCTGAAACGTCAGCTTGCTGGCCTTTCGTGATGTGAATTCATGAGCTCATATACGAGGAGCCGGGGTCTAGTAAAGGCACGTGGATTAGGTCTTTTCTACCCATAAAAGTATTCTGATCAGGAGTTAGGCTAAATTTTGAAAGTGCCGAATTTAGTGTTGAGCACCAAGCACATGCCCTCTATTGCAATCACAGAGTATTCAAAGTTAACTTACCTTGATATTACTCTCCTTAACAAGTTTAGCAACTGTGGGGCTTAACGGCTCATAGAGGATATTCTTCTGATGATATTGCAGATCAGCCAGTATATAGTCAACACCAAGTTCTCGAGCCTGTTTTGAGTTCAACACCGCTCCACGAACTGTAACTACGATATAGTAAATGAAAAACACCACTAAAAATATTCTAAACGAACCTTGCACTAATTTTCCACCCGCTGTTTTCATTACCTCGATACCAGTATGTTTCAGTATGTGTTCACCAACTTGAAGACCGCTAAAGTTAGCACATCGCCTTAGAAGGGTTATAAAACGGTAGTAACATCAAAAACAGACAATATCACTAGTCAATGATGGAACTTACGAAATAACAGCTCCTTTTGCGTCTTCCATCTTACTACCAAGGTAATGTATTTTTCGAATATATTCAGTACCCGCTAAGTCAATACACATTGTTGCTCTAGAAACAACACGATGAATTACTGACGAAAATTTTGTTATTTTTAGGAAAAAAACTAGGGCAGTCAATGATTAACTAGTTAAAGGGCTTGTAGAATGAGTTTTTTGGAGGTGGATCACTCTTTGAGCCCTTTTTTTGAAGGATTCCTTTTTTAAGCCATGTTCCTTGAGAAGAAATCGCATTTGATATTCCTCCTCTTCCTCTTCTTATGATTCTTTCTCTGTGAATGACATCCTTTCTACAAGTCTAGCCATCATCAATTATCAATCCTGACGCTAATATAGGCATCATATCCTCTTGAACAACCTCGAGTGTATGCCGTCGGCGATTCAGCGTGCGGGAAACCTTATGGCAGATTTGGTCCTCAGCATAAACAGCAAACGTTAGGGAAGACTAGACTAGAAAGGTTCTAACGTGCCGCTGGTTATGTGCGAGAGGCTCGTGGACCTAACGACACACCCACCAAGTTCATGAACGATTTTTGTGGTTCAGTCGTTGCTTATCCTATCCCGTCCAGCTCAATAACCTAGTGCATGGGCAACCTACAGTGCGAGATTAAAAACAATGACGTCATTTTTACTTGTCCATGGAGGTGGTGAAAAGTATAACTTGAATTCAACTCACAAGGAGAGTCCAAAAATAATATACGCCATTGTGAAGAACATGTAGACCTGCTCAGTGGGAACGATATCACCGAAACCTAGAGAACATGTTTTTCTATGAACGACATCAGAACTATGAAGTTAACCAATTTCTTACCCACTGTAGCCATAGTTATGAAGCAGAAATAAAATGCCTCGAAATACTGTAGTCCTTCCCATGACTGAAAACTCGAAATGGAGCCAAATTTTCGACTCTTGAAGAGAATCCCCAGCTAATGAGTGAGGAACGTACTTGGAACAGGAAACCTCCAATAGCTGTATAAGCCAGCAAAACAAACAACACCATGAAAACTGGAATTCGCAATTCGTCTTCCATTGAGGATTCTGAATCGCTGTCCATTTCATGGAGATTGATTGAGCCGGCCTAAATTCCGAAAAAATTCTAGGTTTCCATGAAAAACGAGAAGTTTTGGGTGAAAGCAAACACGACGTTCTTTACTAGTTAGGACATGTATCACAGTTGTCTTTGAATTAAAAAAAAGCAACCAAAACTGTCTGGATTCCATGGCAATGGGCACGGGGCACTGCAATTGTCGGAGGACTGCGATTCCGAGCTCACTTCCTACTGGTTGGCTGAGGAACCAGCGCCGACTATCCAATCAAAGAGAAGCGCCCGACACAAAAAGGCTGTTTTTCTACTTCAGTAGAGACTTCTTTTCTAATATTTGTACTTCCAAACATTCAGGCCAAACGTCTCTCACGAGGACAAAACCAGTGAATGATAAAAGAAGCCAAAGTCTCTACGTCAAATTTATAGGATTTTGTATCCAGCTTGCTTTCACTTGAAACATCAGCATTAATAAAGGGCTGTTTCAGAAGGTTCTCGAGGATATAAGAAAGGAAGGATACGTCATACCTCCGCATAAAAACGAAACAGGAAAGCGGAAACATTCGATCTTTTGCCAGATAACCAGTCTATTACGTAGTTCTTTATTTCCAGCAGTAAGAGCGAGGAAAATAGATCAATTAAGGGGAGCGCAAGCCATCTATCCCTTATGTTATATGCGAAGACATGAGGTGACAGAGGGTAAAGAGCAAAGACTAACAGAACTTCAGGTATGCTCACAGAATAGACACATGATCAAGGACTAGGGTTCATTGGCCCTCTAATTAGTTTAGGATAAAGAGGTCGCAGGTTAGTGGATCAGCCGAATTCATCTTTGTGCCCACATGATCGAACCGTTAATAACAGCGTCGCAGGAATATGAAACCGAAAAGTTTGCGATTCAATCATGGCACACTCAGCGATGAGCTCGGTTATAATTTTCCTATACATGAAGATGTTTAAATGCATTCCTTCACAATGAAACTTACAGGAATTCCGTGTCGAAATTGGAACACCTAATGTAAAAAGGCGAAGAAGTGAAAATAATGGAGTGTCACGAAGTAAGAGAATTAAGAGAATGAAAGTAGGGGAAGGGTGGCTACGCCGATTTGGTAATTATTGAATTTACCGTCGTTGATCGAGATACAATTTCTCAGGGTACAATTCAGAAGGCTTTAGGAACTCAGCTCTTCTGCTACAAAGTCACTACATCCCATCCCTTTTCATACTCCACAACACCATCAAAAAGTTATTTATCGCACTGCCATCAGCGGCAAGTTTTGGCACGCATGGGTCAGGAAGCGCCACCGCATTGCTCTTTTCAAAAGTAGGTCACTCCGTAAGCTGTGCAGCGCTGCCCTATTGGGTTGGCGGCAGCAGTGGCGCAGTGGAGGTCCTGACCCTCAATCCTATACGGCCATGGAAGTAGTAGGAATCGCTGGCATGTAATGCGTTGCTAGGTAATAGAGACTCAAAAAATTCCAGCTGCTTGGAACTGAACTTTTTCCCCTTATCGAAAATCATGTTGGTGATGAGGGCTACGTGCTTCCATTCACTTTCGCTACAGAAGCAAATCCGAGTCCCAAGTTTTTTTAAGAGGCTTTTTAAGCACTCCAGGTCAGGGACTTATCCTCCGGCGAACATAAGAATTCAATCACGATGGTGTTTTGAACTCTTCGCACCTTAGATGAGCCGGTTTCACTGGTATGAGAATGCGAGGACGATCGATAATGGAGTGAAATACGCCGTGATTGTTTCCGGATCTGTAATTAGCTGTAATAGTGCTTGAGATTCAAGCACTCTGGTTGAGCATCCGTCAAACACTATCACAAAGTATGAGTAAATGGCAATAGATGTAACATAATTATTAGCAAAAATGTGGTGTAATTTTATCGTTATTTCTTTATGCACACAATTTGTCATTCCTTCATTCATTTCTGATATCATCAACGATGCTTTCGTTCGTGAGCGAGCAATTCACTGTTTAGCAATGCATTCGAAACATAACAACTACATGCGAGAACTGAAACGATCGCTGTATTGGTGCATATAAGGGTGCCTTCCATGAAACACCAAAAATGCCGATATTCAAAACTAAAACGTGTAGGGACTGATATAATGTGCCAAAATAATAGTTCAAAGGTAGTGCTTGCGATAGAAATTATCTTCCAATCTCAAGAGACTTATAAGGGTCGCAACATGTTGTTGATATTGTAGCGGCTAATTACAGCTCTAGTATTACTGGTAACATTCTAATATAAACTGAAATTGAAAACACGCTCAAAATGCGAATCAAATTGTGGGAGTCATGGGATCATTACAGTAACATTGTTTGTACGTGAAGCATGCACAATATGTAGAAGCCGAGAGTAAGCCAGCTTGGTAATTGAAATGAAATCGAAGTTTCGTGGTTGGGAACCGCATGTAACAAAATTCCATCTACTCATTTGGGGTCGAAGACGATGATATTGATGCAGTTTGGTTCTTTCGTGCTGAAGAGGAGGCGAAAGTGTAGAAAAAAAAGGAAATTTACAGGAATTTCGAATTGTGCAATTATTTTCGAGCTAATTACCTCTACGGTTGCACAGAACAACACCCTGTTCCCCGTGAACAATGTATAAGTTGAAATCCACGTTGAGTTTCCACTGTGCTCACCTATGCTACCCAATGCGAGCTCGCAACCCCCACCTTTCTTTTGAACTTTTTCAAGGCGCCGCGAGTGCGGGAGTCTTTTGATGCATATCCCTGGAGCAGGAAATTTACAACGGTTTCGGTCTTTGGCAGTCAACAGAATTATCAGTCAGCTTCAAGCTGACAGTATGTATGTGACGAGGTCTATACCACACAGTAAAGCAATTTTTACATTAAACAAAGCACTAATTTGCTTTGGAACGATTTTTATGCTTGATCGTGTTGGGTAGAAAGGGACCAAAATCCTCAAAAATAGAGTGGAAAGGAGAGACACGATATGACGCTACCATCCTACACGTTCCTGTCCTCAGTCGCTAGCAGTGTTAACGGGTTGGTTCGAAAAACAGAATAAGATAACTTCCACGTACGGCCTTCTATGAACCTCGGCGTAATTGTTCTGTTACTGAGTTGTTTTCTTTAACTCTTCACGAGGTTTGTAGGCAAGCTTTATTAGGCTGACGTTTCGGCGGAGTCGCCTTCTTCAGAGCCTAGAAAGGTCGTAACAATTTGTGACTATCCGATCAAACGTCTCCACTGCCACACTGAAGTTCGAGACCCCCAGGGCACGCAGGTGATTAAAGCAGAACCACTCATCGTAGCTTCGTGGATTCTTCGAAACCAACCAGCAATCGATGATAACAATCGATCAGTTTCAGCTGGGGTTGGTCTCAATTCAAAGTCTCTGTGGTAAGGCCAACTTTATATAAGGCCCAGCTCCCACGTGATTGGGAGGCATTCTTCCCTACGATTCATTTTTGGATCGATGACTTGTATCCAAAATGCCTGTGCCACGACCTCCACGGTGACTTCAAAAACGCCTTTGGTGTACATTTGTATTCGGTGACTCCCTAAGGCAGTGGACTCCTTCAATCGATTCATACCATCTACGTGCTCCTTAACCCTCACGTGGAGTGGTCGTGCCGTTCCTCCAATATACTCATCACCACAATCACGGCAAGTAATTTTTTAGGCCATATATATATATATATATATATATATATATA